CTCACCTGGAACTCATCACACAGGCTAAACTAGCCGACTGTAGAGATCTCCACCTCCCCAGCAAGTGCTAGGATTACAAGCACTTGTCACCATGCCCAGCTTTTTATGTGAGTTTTAGGAATGAACTCAGGTCCTCGTGCCTATAATTTGCAGAAGCAGGGCGTCCCCACTGCATTAGAGAAAGACCAGTCAGCACACAGGCCACAGGCAGAGCCTCTGACCTAACCGCCCTGTGTGCTGCCTGTTACTGTTAAGGAAGTGCTTGAGCTGATGAAAGCAGGGTAGGAGTGAAGTGGGCTCATCAGGACAAAGACCCTGAGACAGAACCAGCAAATCAAGTCTCCTGGTCCAAGGGAGCTGACTGTCCTGGACACAGAGAGTGAGACAGGGCAGAGAGAGACACTGCCTGTCTCCGGGCCTGACTACACCAAGGGATTGTCACGGAGAGCTGAAAAGAAGAAAATAACCAGAGCCCCTCTAAGTGTCCTGAGCCCTGGAAAAGGCCTCATCGGAGAAACAAAGTATGGAAGGGTGTGCACCACTTCTGCAGAGAGGAGAGAAGAGAGAATGTGTATGCATATTAGTGTTGGATTGCGTGTACGGTGCCTTTAATGGGTGGGTGAGTACCTGTTTAGGGTGTCTGAGAATGGGGACTACAGGCCTGAGGTCAGCAGAAGGAAAGGCCTTCCATTTTCAATCTTTTTAAGTTTTATCTGTTAAAAAAAAAAAGATTATTCAAGGGGCTGGAGAGATGGCTCAGCAGTTAAGGACCCTGGTTCTTGCAGAAGATCCGAGTTCAAATCCCAGCACCTACACGACAGCTTACAGCTGTTCATAACCCCAGTCCCAGGGGATCCGACAGCCTCTTCTAACCTCCACAGGCATTGCACAACATGGGTGCACTTACCTACATGCAGGCAATACACTCATACACATAAAATAAAAATAATATTTTTTTAAAGTTAAAAAAAAAGATTATTCAGGCTGGAGAGATGGTTCAGTGGTTAAGAACACTTGTTGCACTTGCAGAGGACCCAGGCTCCACCTAGGTACCAACCAGTACCTACCTCACAACCACCTGTACCAGTTCCAGGGGCTCCAATATTCCCTTCTGGCCTCCTCAGGCACCTGCACACATATGGTACACTTACATATATTTAGGCACACATACATCACATTAAATAAACAATCTTTTAAAAAAAAATGAGGTCGTGGGACTGGAGAGATGGCTCAGCAGTTAAGAACACTGGCTGTTCTTGTAGAAGACCCGGGTTTGAATCCCAGCACCCACATGGCAGCTAACAACTGTCCATAACTCCAGTTCCAGGGGATCTGATGGCCTCTTCTGTCCTCCACAGGCATTGCACAATGGGGTGCACTTATCTACATGCAGGCAATACACTCATACACATAAAAAAATTTTTTTAATTAAAAAATGAGGTTCAAATTTTTTAATTGTTATGACATTTATTAATCTCTGTATGAACATGCATGTGCCACAGTGTTTGTGTGTGTGTGTGTGTGTGTGTGTGTGTGTGTGTAGAAGTCAGAAGACAGCTTTTGGAAGTTGGTTCTCTCCTACCATGTGAGACCCAAGAATCAAACTCAGGTCATCAGGCTTGGTACACACACCTTTACCTGCTGAACCATCCTGTTTGTCCTAAATGTTTAAGGTTAACAATGGCTGCTGGATGGGAAAATGGGACAGAGGAAGTCAACAACGGATTTTAAGAACGTAATAGAGAAAGAGACCCTGGGTTGTTTGGGGGGGAAGCTGAGGAACAAGCTAAGATTGGGCCCAAGTAGTTGCAGAATGATGGGAAATGTTTAGGCAGGCCCATGTGTCCCAGGGTGTGGTGGGAGGGGATACCAGGGAAGGGGGAGGAATGGTAGAGCACTAAGGAGCCATTTAACTTTGCTCTAGTGGAGCATGGCTCTGTCAAACAAGCTGAGTTATTTACCCCTTCTTTGGACACAGCAACACAAGCTTTATGCACAGAGCACAGAAAAAAGGCCAGCAAGGAATATGCACACGCTCTGGGAAGTACACCCAAGCCATGGGCCTCCAGGGACAACCAAGAGAGCTATCCACCCACTGCCCACCTCCTAGTCAATCCTTCATCGGCCCTGTAAACTGTCAAGACACACTAAACATGGAGTGTTCTGGAAAAGCAGCTCTTGATGGCCTCATATGGGCTGTCAAAGAGCCGGGTGGCTCTGGAGGAGCGATTTGCTCAACTTTTAATAAAAGCAGCAACAAAGTCCATCAAAAGGGCAAAAGCCCTTGGCACCTGCAGGCTGCTGGCATTGTCCTGGCAGCTTCTGCCCCCTGCTGACAGGACTGATGTATGACAACTTCTCCTGCAGGCACAGGCCACAGCTCTGGACTATTCCACTTTGCATTCAGGGCACAAGGGAGGTGAGTTAGTCTGGCAGCTTCTACCCTTTATTGAGATGTCCATCACCTAGCACTGCACCAGCAGAGATATAAACAACCAGGCCCTTGTGAGTTGTGGACACATGAATCGCAAAGCCACAAAGATCATTACCACAGAAGGCAGCGTACCAGATGCAGCGCCTTGCCTTACAGCAAATTGCAAAGCAGAACAGAGCTGTAGCCTCATGCATCCCCCCCTCACCCCCTGGAGGCTCATCATGATCAGAGGCTGTGCACCAGAGCTGGAGTTTATGAGTACCACTTGTCAGCAGAGCTGTAGCCTCATGCATCCCCCCCTCACCCCCTGGAGGCTCATGATCAGAGGCTGTGCACCAGAGCTGGAGTTTATGAGTACCACTTGTCACCAGGCTGCACACCCATCCGTGTAATACCATATGAACAGGCAAGGGACACCGAGAAACGCCGGGGCAAGCAGAGATTCAAAGCTGGACAGTCTGGTCCTAAGATGTAGAATTTCCATCTTAAATTAACATCCTTTCTCATTGAGCTTGTACATCGAAATCAGTATTTCCTGTCTGTGGAAGAGTTTGACCCCCAGAGGACATTCAACAATGTCTAGAGACATATTATAGTTGTTAACTCAAGGAGGGTGATGATTCTGGTAGCTAGTGGGTGGGTGCCAAAGATACTGGAAAACATCTTGAAAGACTCAGGGCAGCTCCTCCCACAATAAAGAACTCCTCATCTCAAAATGTCAGTGTGCCAAGGAGGAGAAGCCTTATCCGGGAGACCCCACAAAGCCCCTGGCCCAGTCTGCTCCAGCACTGCCTAGGAACCAGCACATTTCAAAGTGAATGTGCGTTAGTTTCCGGAAGGCATTTTTGCCAAGGTTCAGCCAAAGCATGCAAGGGACCCTATATTATGTATATGTAAGTGCACCCATGCCCTGCAGTGCACACTTACATCCTGGCTGATGGTTTGGGTATAGCCACCCACCCCCAAAGACAGCTATTGAGGACTTGGTTCCCAGAGTAGCAGTATCAGAGATGGGTTTTAGGGGAAGTGATTGAATCACATGGGCTCACTTTGACAATGTATCGATGCACTGATGGGTTCCTAAGATGACTGGCTACTAGGAGGTGATGGGGACCTGGGAGATAAAACCCAGGTAGTTGAATGGAATAGGTCTTTGAAGGACACATCCTTGGTATTTTCTCTCTTTCCTCTCTTCTCTCCTCTCCTCCCCTCCCCCCTTCCCCTCCCCTCCTTTGTTGTTCTTCTTCTCCTTCTCCTCCTCCTCCTCTCCCCCTCCCCCCTCTCCTGTCCTGACCACCACTTGGCTATATGTTAATATGCTGCCATTGCTGCAATGTCCAGCCAAATGACCACAGACTAAAACCTCTGAAACTGTGAGCTACAGTAAACCTTTCTTCTTTTTAAAGTTTTTCAAAATGTGACCAACATTTTGCCATAGTGACAAAACCCAATACATCAGCAGCTGCATACTTTCTCTTTCATTCTGACCTCCCGCATGGTGGTTCTGCCTTTAGCGTTCTAAGGGGTGAGGTGACTTGCCAGGTCAGGGAGATGACATCCATCTCTCTTTGAACACTGGCTGACAAAGCAAGAGGGGTCCTAGGAAAGCCAGGTGGTATACACGGACATTTCCCCAGGAAAGGCAACATTTCCACCCCATGCTTTTACAGAACACGAGGTGTAGACAGCGTCTCTACAATAAAGACTTGAGAGGGAAGCGCAAACCTCCACGAAGTTGACTGGTACTCCCTCCTGTTCAAACTTCTAGCTATGCACATTTTTTAATGTATTTTAAGTTTAACTGATAGACAATAAAAGCTGTTCACATTTGTGCGTGCAGTTGTATGCCCTTGCAACCAGGTCAAACTCATCTCATCTACCCAAACATTTATCATTTCTCTGCGGAGAGAACATCCCAGCTCCCTGTCTGCTTCTGTAATGTGGGGCTCATGGATGCTGTCTGCGGTCGTCCACCCTGCAGTCCACAACGCTGAACTCACTTCTATTTAACATTACCCATTGCTCAACTTCTCCCCACCCTTCCCTTCTCTGGCTCAGATTTTAAAGCACGCTTTAAAAACGACATTTTGCTTCGGGGCACGAGACAAGGTCTGGATCTGCAAATGCGATTCGCAGAACCCTGGGAACAAGGTAAGCCAAGCAGCAGCAACAGGTGGCTTGGCGCTGGAGACTGCGGCTTCCTCTACTGCGCACGCGCCGCTCTAACTATGCGGAGAGTCGCCCGGCCCCTTTCTGGGCGAACCCACTTCCGGAAAGGCTGGGGGGGGCGGTGCGGCGAATTTTTCTCCTAAAAATGGTTCAAGCCAACCTCTGTCCAATCAGAAAGCTGCTTTACGCCCCACCTCCAGCCGCATACTATTGGAGGCGGGGACAGCAGTGATTGACGTCACTTGTAACCATTGATCAAAAAGGAGTGCAGTTGATGAGCAGGTGTCTCTACGAATCGAGTCGCGTAGAAGAGCGAGTATCCCTTCCCCCACTCCCATTGGATCTCCTGGGACGTCTGGGGGCGGGAGCGTTTGGCACCAGCCAATGGAGAAAGAGCCTGGAGAGAGGAGGCGTGGCCCTGGGGATGGTTGCCAGGCGAGCGCCTTTGGCGCGACTCTTGGGAGGTTAGGGGTAAGCCTGGGTCTACGACAGGAGACTGGCCTGAAAGGCCGGGTGGGGAGCAGGGCCACGCCACCCCCTCTGCAGACTGACTGGACCCTGGAGCCCTGTGTCCCCTCCTCCCGTACCGCCCTAGCCCGGTCCATCGCGGCCACAGGGCCTGCAACCCTAGCTAACCCTCCAGCAGCCGCGTCCTGGCTGGTGGCTGGCTACCATGGTGAAGCTGGCCGCGAAATGCATCCTGGCAGGTGAGTCAGTAAGTGTGCTTGAAGGCGTGGTCCCCGGAGCCCGAGCTTCCTCACTCATCACAGCTCTGGTCCAAGGTAGCTGTCCTCTGTCTCCCATAGGAGCCGCTGCCCCGGCGGGTGGGTCGAGAAGGTTGCAGGTCGAAGGGAAGAACCCTCCAGGCACCCGTGTTCCCTGCTCCTTCCCACGTCCTGAGACCACTTTGGTCAGTTAGAGCTGCACTGGGGACCCGCTTACAACCAGCCTGAGCAAGTGCTTCCTGCAGAGCGTGGACTGTACCCCAAAGTTACGCATCAATGACGCTGGCAGCCTCCACGCGTGGGTTTTTTTTTTCCCCCGACTCCACTCTCTCTGATATCAGGAGTGTTAGAGGAGCTTGCTGTTGTCTTTAAGACCCCAGGTGCGTGTGCTGCCAGCGCAGAGTACGTGGACTTGGGGTGGACTTGGGGTGGTCTGTCTCCAAAGGCAGGAATCTTTGTGTTGTTGCCCGAGACGGTAAATGCCCACAAAGCCTGAAGCCTAGAAAATATTCAGTGACTGTGGAATGAATGTGTGGCGCACACCTAGACCAGTGGCTTAGGTTAGACCTATTTGCCTAGCACACAACGTTAGGTTCTGTGTGGTCCTGACATGCCTGGGGACACTGGGCAGTGTTATCTAGGGTGCACCCCTGGTGAAAGTCCGTACATAGGACTCCCACACCCACATCTGCCTGTGTCCACAACTCTGTCCTGGTGTCAGGTGTATTAGTTATAGCACACCTGACAAGAAGCAACGTAAGGGAGGAAGGGTTTATTATGCTCATAGTTCCAGGGGATCCAGTCCATCATGGTGGGAAAGGCATGGTGGCAGGCTGGTCACATCACATGCACAGTCAGGAAGCAGAGAGAAGGCGGTGCTCAGCTCACTTCCTCCTTTCTCTGCAGTTTGGGGCCATGGTCCATAGAATGATGCCACCCACTTTTGGGGTGTGTCTTCTCACCTCCATTAACCTAATCTAGATAATCTCTCACAGGTGTGCCCAGAGACTTGTCTCTTTAGTGATTCTAGTTTGCAGCCAATATAAACCATCACTCCAGACTTCCCTAATCAGCTCAGGAAAGAAGAGGCAAAACATTAGTTTAAAAAAAGGCCGGGGGCGGGGGAGGGGGGCAGGACGGGACTTGACAGGGATGAATTTTGATTCCTCTCTTCTAGACTGAAAATGGGCTGTACCCCCAAAGTTACACATCAATGACGCTGGCAGTCTCCACGCGTGGGGTTCTTTTCCCGACTCCACTCTCTGTGATATCAGGAGTAGTGGAGGAGCTTGTTGTTTTTAAGACCCCAGGTGTGTGTGCTGCCAGCCCAGAGGATGATAGTACTTTGAATACTTTTCTAATTTGAAAATAAAAGGACCATGCATAAAGATGAGTAACAGTCGTGAGTTGGATCCTATTGCAGTAAAAAAAGAAATGCGGGCTCTCTAGAGAGCCTCTAGTTTGCACAGCACCAGGGGAGGCAGTGTTGTGTAAGGAAAGAATTCTGGCTGTGCGTCTGCATGGATCTCTGTCGCCTTGGATGGCATTCTATTTCCTCATGGGTAAGCTGGGGACACTCATTTTTCTAAAGTTAGTCTTTTTTTAAAGTAGGCTGTTTTCTTCTACTGTCCTTTCTTAGTTCTGCCTTAGCCCAGTTAGCTTCCCAGCACCCATCACGAGCCACTTTTTTAAGACTTAACTGCGTACCCATCCCATGCTACGCCCTCAGTGTGCGTCTCTTTAATGAATCCTCCCAGCCACCAAGAGGGTCCTGTGTCATCCTCATTTAAGATGAAGCAGCCAGGGCCTAGAGTGAAGAGGACACCAGCCCTGGGTCACACGGCCATCAGCAGCAGAGCAGATCTACGTCTGAACCCAGACAATCTGACTTCCAACTTTATCCCCTTTCCCTCTTGACCCCAACCCTCCTGGCACTGTGCCAGCTGATCCCAGCCAGAGTCAGTGACTCCTGACTCTAACCTGGGCCTGAGTCTGCAGCCTTCTGTCAAGGCCTTCATGCAGGGCATCTCCCCTTGGCAGCCTCCAGGAACCAATAGACCTCCATAGCAGCACCTTCAGATTCTTGATCCTCGTGCCTCCCTGGCTTTGTTTTTCCTTCTACCCCTCCTGTGCCCACATGGTCCCTCATAATCACGAGGGGCCTGATGCTCAGTCCATCAGGTATTTATTGAGCACCTACTATGTGTGAGTCACCATGTAAGATGCACTCAACCCAGCCCTACACACCAGGAAGAACCCAGATGTGTATAATAAGTAAAAGTTGCAACTATGCATTGTGGTCCTTGGTGTGTCAGACTCTAAAGAATGCCTTAGGCTTGTGCTTGTTGGCATTGAGATGGGGCGAGAAACCCACAGGTGACATGTGTCCACGTTTCATCTGCTTCACAAATAACACCATATACCAGGCACTAGGCACACTAACTCATTAAATCCCCATAACAATTCTGTGATGTGGGTGCCCTTGACATCCTATTCTACAGATATAGCAAGTGAGGCACAGAGAGGTTGAATAACTAACCTAACCTAACATTACACAGCCAGTCTGTGGTGGAACTGTCTGGCCCCAAGTCTGTGCCCTTTTGGTGACACACTATGTGTCTAGGCCTGTGGGGACAATAGTCATGCTTCCTTGGAGTGCAGCCCTGGCATGTCTTCCCATGTGAGCATTGATCCATAGCCACCCTGGTAAAGATAACAGGAGTAGATGACCTCGGGCCATAAAGAAAGGAACTGAATGAGCTTTGTGTGGAGAGAAAGGGCGGGGTCTGGATTTGGATCAGAAGTAGGTGGCTGTGTCCAGGGACCAAAAGAACACGCATGTTGTATCCAGATTTTGTGTAAGGGACCTTCACAGAGTTTTGGATGGTAGGCTAAGGGGTGACTAGAGAGAGCTGTGAATGAGTGCTGTGGGGAATGTGAGGACTTGTAGCTTGTGACGGTCTCTCATGTGGCTGGGCTGGGATGTACAGGGAGCCAGGGGAAGGCGGGCGGGGGTGGGGGAGCTCTGGAGAAGCTTTCAGTCAAGGTACCAACTCAATAACAGAATTGGTTCCTGGTGTGCGAGAGGCCCAAGACAGCAGAAGCCCTGAGATACCAGGGACAGGTGACAGCTGAGTTGAAAGGATCCCACCGAACTGGGCGCAGGCCCCTAGGGCAGACCACTGGCTGGCTGGCACAGTTACCCAAAGGCGGTGTTGCCAGGTGCCACCAGGACCTGTTTGCCCTTGGCAGGGGGCTCAGAGCCAGGTGCAATGGAGCCATTTCCTGTGTTTTGAGACCTCTCAGCTCTGGGTCCACACCAGATGTACAGTAGTGAGTAGGATGGTAGTTAAATATATTGGAGGCAGGAACACTGAGGCAGCCAGAAGATGATGATGAAGGCAAGAGGGAGCATTGCTCCAGGGCTGGGTGGGGAGAAGCCTGGGGAGGGTTTTTCCCTCTTCCTGCTCCAGCCTTCTGAGTCCCAGTTCTGCAGAATGGCACAGGGAAGGAGGGCTTGGTGTGAGGTCTGAGCTCCTGGAGGTGGTGCCCGAAGTGCTGGCTTGAGACCACCCAGGACAGAAGGGTTAGAAGGGAAACCATGTGGATGTGGGAGGGGGGCAGGGTCCACAGCTGGAGACAGTGAGGATGCTGGATGCATGATGGTGAGACCACTCGAGTCCATGGCGAGACCTGGGCTTGGCTGTGGACAAGCGAACTACAGAAGACAGTGACTAGAAACAGCCAGTGTGGGAGAGAGCCATCTGGGGCATTGAGAGTCAAGGAATGAGGGAAATCAGCCGTGGTCGTGACTCTGAAGTAGAGTCTTTGCCTCACATGCATGAGGCCCTAGGTCAATCCCAAGCCCTGCCAGCTTAGTGGGCAAGGCAGGTAGAAGGAAAGAAATTGAGGCTGAGGAGCCAGGAGCAGAGCACTGATCTTTGACACTACCAAGAGGATGAAAGCCATGAAGAGGGCAGGAGCAGGCATTGATGGCACCAGGCCAGTGCAGGATCACTCAGGTATGGGGATGGGCTCTGGAATGGGGACACTGGGGCAGGTAGAAGGAAAGAAATTGAGGCTGAGGAGCCAGGAGCAGAGCACCGATCTTTGACACTACCAAGAGGATGAAAGCCATGAAGAGGGCAGGAGCAGGCATTGATGGCACCAGGCCAGTGCAGGATCACTCAGGTATGGGGATGGGCTCTGGAATGGGGACACTGATTGAAGCAACTGCACTATCCAAAGAGGTCAAGAGTGGGAACCCAACAGAGACCACTGGACTTGGCGTTTAGGAGGTCACAGGTGGTTCCTTCCAGAGGTAGTCCTGTCCTTCAGTCCAGCCCTCTGGCTGTGGCCCAGATCACCCCACACCCAGCAGCCAGGCGGGCTCAAGTCTCTCTTGAGGTCTCTCTCGAGGTTTCTTGTGTTTCCTCACATGGACCACTTCTCAGCTCGGCTGTGGCCCAGATCACCCCACACCCAGCCGCCAGGCGGGCTCAAGTCTCTCTCGAGGTCTCTCTCGAGGTCTCTCTCGAGGTTTCTTGTGTTTCCTCACATGGACCACTTCTCAGCTTGTACTGTTTGAATCTTCACTTGTCAGCCCGATGCTCCAGCAGCATGTTCATCAGCTCCTTTGCCTCCTGGTGCTCAGATCCCACATGGAAGCTTCGCTGCCAGTGTTAGTGACTGACTGACAGTCGGCAGAAAGATTCACGAAATGAACCAGAACCAATCTGAGGGCGAATCACTCAGGAAGAAAGCCAGTTTCCTCCCGAGTTCAGGAGCACAGCCAGAGTCAGGATGCTGGTGTCATCCAGGTAGAAGTGAGGAGGAAGTACTGAGCCGTGTGCCCTGGGCAGGGAGGAAGTACTGAGAGCCATGTGCCCCAGGCAGGGAGGAAGTACTGAGCCATGTGTCCCAGGCTAGGAGGAAGTACTGAGCAGTGTGCTCTGGGTAGGGAAGAAGTACTGAGCCATGTGCACTGGGCGGGGAGGAAGTACTGAGCCATGTGCCCTGGGCAAGGAGGAAGAACTGAGCCGTGTGCCCTGGGCAGGGAGGAAATACTGAGCTGTGTGCCTTGGGTGGATGACACCCATGGGTCCTGAGATGCCGTAGTAAAGAGGGCCCAAAGAGTGGCATTGAAATGGGACAGCCTGGCAAAGCAGCATGATATTAGGATCCCTGACCAGTTACCCAGCTTCTCTGAACCTTGGTCTCTGTCTGTAACTCTGGTGGGGGATCAGCATGGAACAGAAAGATGGGAGGGAATGGGGAAGGAATGAAAGGGAGGGAGGGAGGGGA